AATTTTGGGAAAACCCTAAACCCCAAACCCCGAACTTTGGAAAAATAACACTCAAAACTTGCCAAAGGCCTGGATAAAGCTGCTGGGTGCCCCGCCTCGTTATTTGAGTCGAGCTTACGGTTTAGGGTTTGGGGTTTAGGGATTAGGGTTTTAAGGGTTTAGGATTCAGGGTTTTTGGTTTAGGGTTTAGGGTTGTTGGTTCTGATTTTCAATGATGTCATCATCAAAAGACGCGTAAGGAGCACAATAAACATTTTGCTTTTAAGTGGCTCTCCCAAATAGCCACTTGGTGCAGAGTGATTTTGGTGCCTTGGTGAATACCGGTTCCTACGAAAGGAGTGTGCTCTTGGTAGTACTGGTAATTAGTACGGAGTTCTTCCTCACTTCGTGCAGTATGTCCAGGACGCTCAATACCCCTAAACCCTTAACCCCAAACCCTCCTAGTACTTGTTTCAGTAACAGTTAATGCAAGGGGGAATCACTTGAGATATCTTAGTCTTAATTCAGTATGTCATTTTGCTTACTGGTTCTTAGACCCTAAACCCTAAGCCCAAGAACCAGTAAGTCTGGTATATGTTTGGAAGTGTCTTTGGGCTCCTCATTGGATGGTGATTAAGAGCGTTCAGAGGCCAATCGGGATTTCTGAGCTCTTCTTTGTCTGTTCGGTATCCCTTGTCTGAACCCCCAAAGCATGTGGCAGAATAGCATGCATGCTGGCTCTTTATTCGCATTTTGCAGTTCTTTGCCTATTTTTTGAGGTATAGTAACACTTCTTTTCGCATACTGCCGTTTAGAAGCCCAAATCAGGCCCGTTAACACATCCTCGATTAGTCGCTTGAAGCTGTTACTAATTTGGGATCGTTCCTACTAACTACACAGACCCGCCACAAGATTCCAAACACGAGCCCCAGGGTTTAGGGTTTTAGGGTTCAGGGTTTAGGGTTTTAGTGTTTAGGATTTAGGTTTTAGGGTTTAGGGTTTATAGAGTTTTGGGAATTTGAAACTCATTGACCTGAATGGCTTTCTTCGACCTTTCCCCACGACCCTAGCAACTTCCAAACCTAAACCCTACAGTTCCCAAGCCCTTAGCCACACCCTTGAACGTGACTGCCTGTAGACCTTCAATCCCAGTTGCTGCCAAAGTCCCCGCAACTCTTGCCAATAACCGTACCCAGGGGTCCAAGTACCCAACTGGTGCATACTTAGAAGCCTCGAACTATGCACATGACCGACTGTGGGCCACAAGACGTACTGTATAGCTGCAGGCAGCTGTTGAATATGTGATTTTTTGATGATGTGGAGCCACCCGATGTTTTTCTTCATTGAAGGATGTTAGTGGGTGAGGGCAGCAGCCAACCCATACAACACATCCTTTGGCCCGAGATGTGTCTCTATAGGTACTTGGGAGTCTTTCAAAATGATCCGTAAATAATCCCTGAGAAGCACCTTCATAATTCCTTTAAAGCTAGCATATATCCCTTGTGTCCCCCTGTTTTTAGAAAGTCCCATTGTGAGGCTGGTAAGTCTGTTTTGGGTTGGGGCCCCATCCAGTAATAGTGGCATATCAGGAATGTGCAGGGACCGTAATGTCATTACCATCATCTCTTTTGGTCGCCATTTTGGGCGGGGGCCGAACCTAACCCGAAACCCTATATAGGACCCAAACTGTAAACCCCAAACTTGAAACTCTACATGCTCTAAAGTTCCAACAGATATGTCTTCCCGATATTCTCGTCAGGCGTCGTCAGCGGAGAGAGCTTCGAGGGCTGGGTAACGGAGCTCGAAGCGTGCCTGCCCCAGGGGCTTGGCGCTTTACTGTACCAGGTTGACAAGAGTTGAAAGCTGCTGTACCCCAAAATTGAAACATGTATCTTATAAAGCCATAGAGACCTTTTTTTTACGGCCCAAGCAAATCAACCCGAGTTTCGGGTTCCGGGTGTAGGGCTTGGGGTTTCAGCAGGTTTGGGGTTAAGGGTTTAGGACGACCAGGGCCTGGCGTCTTGGGCTTTCCTTCATGGATCCCCTTCTCCCGCCCTCTATACTACCCCCACCTGGGTTTCCCCTACATTAAGGTTACTAAGGGGTAATTAGGCTTAATTAAGGTTAATTAAGGGGGAACTTAGGGGGGTAGTGTAGAGGAGGGTAGCAGGGGAGCCCATGATGGGTTGAAGAGCTTGTGGTTCAGGGTGTAGGGTTTCTAGAGTTTAGGATTTTTTGGGCTTAGGGCTGTACCTAGAGCACCCAGGTGCTTTCTCACACAGTCTCACACAGATCAGATGTAAAGGCACTTGGGGACGTATGGGGAGATGTAGGGTTTAGGTTTGGAGCTTTTTGTACGCTTTGGATGTTAATGTCATGGATTAGTTAGGTGGATCCCCCACCATGTCGTAGCGGAATACAGGAATAGGAATATAGAAGGACCAAATATGATCCCCATTATCCCTTGTGGTCACTATTACTGGGGGGCTCCATCTACTGGATTAATGTGTAGGATTCAGGTGTAAGGTTTTAAGTGCTGGGGCACTTTTGCATGGAGCTGCATGGGAAAGGAAGCTTACTTTCGAGGTAACTTTCACGGAAAGAGGGTTCGGGCGGGGTCTAACCACGTCCGCTTAGAATCACACACCCAAACCCTCTTACATTCATATTTCAAGTTATTATTGCTATCATCATCAACAATAAGAGTATGCAATATTTTGGGGCGGGAAAATTTACCATGAGCGGAGGACTACAGAAGCTCACTCACTGGAGCTCACCTCTTTTTCCTTCCTGGCACGGTTTAGGCTTTCAGGGGAATGGAATAAAGGCAAGAGTTTGGGGATTTAGGGCCTTTTCGGCTCTAGGGCCTAAGGGGTCATACGTCTTTTTCACAAGCTTTTTCAACTTCAGTGCTTTAATATGAAACTACTAAGAATCGATGTTGTATTGGACGTTTGGAAACCACTACACCCGAAATCTTTGACTCTAGCTAGGCTGACAGCTACGCTGTGGAAGCCCAGGCAATAACCAGCGCAATGTCCTGAACGCAGCGCAATATCCTGAACGCATTAAAAACCCATAGCCATGCCGGTACAATCCTTATATAATCGTTATACAATCCTAGTATACCCCCGTCTACCCCCTAAACGGTACCTGCGAAAGTATGTATGTATGACATACATACATTCGCGAAAGGAAAACGGGAAAGGATTACACTTATTCGCTAAAGCTGGCCAAATCCCAGAAAAGGAATCTTGAACAGCCGCCTATGCCCTTTGAGTGCGACCAGCAGGCTTGACAGTGGTTATGTATCGTTACGCAGGTCCGACGCCGACTCCTCATTAGGGCTTGTAAGCCAGCCGAAAGATTGGTCCAAGTTGAGTCTTCTTCTCGGGTGCTCTCGCAACCTGCACGATTTAGCGGGCACGGAGCACACGGCTGGGAAAGTCAAGCAAGCTATAAACAGGCCGCCGCCTAATCCTACAGTGCCCTACAGCTGGGCGTGCAACTAGGCAATCGTGCGCTACATGACTACTTGTTGCGCAGCACGAAACGGACCGAGAGAAGGAGATGTGCGCGAAGCATCCGGCGGACTTGTCCTTGCCCTGGACCTCCTCTTGAAATTGGTCATTGTCAGGAGCCTTGCAATTCTCCAACTGTCCCGGCCCTCCCTGGGTCCCTCTCCTGAAGCATTATAGCAAGAACATTGCAGAGAGTGGCGGCCTGAGAAGTCTGCAAGTTTGCGCCTGCCTCAGTTTATTTCAACATCCCTTTCAACGCCCTCAACCCATCGGATGCCCCCAGATCCAGCCAATGAATCCCGTCTCTCTAGATTGTTCGCCCCACCCCACCCCCAAACGCAAAATGAAGAGCAGCATGCACAAAACATTCCGACAAAGGTACATAGCCGGCTTGGCCGCCTTGGAGCAGCTCCGAGCTTGGCAATGTCCACCTGATAGCTCCAGCGATCAGCATTCTCTGTTTAGGCCTAGAACTGGGGTGACTCGGGCAAATCAACTTCGTCTCTCGGGTGAGATCGACACCTACTTTTAGCCACAGGTACTCTTTCTGCTGCAGTGCTCCAGCTCGTAAACCAGAAGAAGGAACGGCTTTCAGTTGTTGAAAAGGCTGAGGTCGGCACATCTTGCGCATTGCTATGTAATTAGGCATTCTTTTGTTGCCGGCATCCTGGAAGATTGTTGTGATTCTTGCTTCTGCGGCTGCAGCTGCCGCTGTACGTAGTTGTTCTTCAGATGTTCCTTATCAGCTTCTTGTTGCAACTATCAGCGCGATTCGCTCAAGGCTAAAGCTCGAAGAGGAGGACAAGGTCAGCAGATGTCGAGCAGTTGCTGGTGCGCCGCGCCACCAACTGGGGATTGCGGGATCTGTGCAGATTCAGGGGTTGGGTTGACCATAGTTGACTACGAGAGCTCAATGTGCATCAGGGCTTTCATGTTCTCCTGCCCAGAGGCTTCTCTAAGCGCGTATTTGGATGCGTGGACTTTGATCTCGCAACTTCCTTTGGCCAAGTAATGAGCACTCCTAGGGGGTGTGCTTTCCAAGAGCTGTGTCCAAGAACAATCTTAGGTTGGAAGTATGGGCCCCTAGTATGGGCCGCTTCCTTGGTCCAATGCTCTCCATGAGTGCAAGCGTAATGTATAGGGAGCGTCAGCTCAGAGCAGCCTCGTTTTTTTACAGTCCTACTCGACCATTCCCTGTCATGCGGCATTCTCTGTACAACAACGCCAACCCTTACTTCCTGGCTTGAACAGCTACCCTTCCGGAAAAGTCTTGCAGCAGTGCAGTAATTCCTGCAGATTAGGCCATCCCGCAAACATCTACAGCATCAGAGACTTGCATTCATGAGCGAATGCTTTGCTGCCCCCCAAAAACATCATATGTTTAGGACTGCAAATGGCCCCAAGATTTTCTGACATGATTAGCCAAGCAAGTTTTGGAGCTAGTCCGGTTCTGACAATATTATATCCTCATAGCTCAAAATTTGCGGAAGTTTTGGGAAGGCCTCTCCCTGGGAGAGTACGTTGCGCTGACTGCTGCTGGTGTTTTTGACTTCGAGACTGGCTTGCGGCTCATCAAGGCGCGGATTGGCCAGACCAATTTTATACTCATCCTTTACAGGAGGAGCACTCAAAAGGATAGGAATCGTGCGAGGTATAGAGATCCTACAAAGATTCCAAAGCTATGTCAATGTGTCGAGCGTGTCTTTTCTTGTTCTAGGGGATCCGTTAGGATGCACCTCTTCTGAAAAGCAATGTGGTCGTGGTGGCTTGGGGCGGAATGAAATATGTAATTGCGCGTGGGGGTACGACAGTGGCTGCTTAACTGCAAACCGTTGCCTAAGGAAGGCTTTACACAAATCATTCACATTTCTTGTCTGAAGAAAAGGCACTTTTCCAGGACTCTTTCTTTCGAGGGTGCATTTGTTGATGCTCTTGATGTTTTGGAAGCTCCCGTAGCCCTCAGGCCTGATGCCCTTGACCGCCGAATCCTAAGTGCCATAGACCTTGAACCCCAGCCTTCAAATCCCAAAGTCTAAAACCCCCATCCTAGACCCTCAACCGCAAGCCCAAACCTTCAAGATGTTTAGAAAAGGGAGACACCGTCAGGTTCGCGCCGAGGCCATGCAGTTCGAACTTTCCGGTGGTCGTCCGGGAGCGAAGGCAAGGATTCTGCTTGGGGGTTAGAGGGGCTTCGGGTTGTTCGCATTCCCTCCGCAAGCCCCGAAGCCGTAGCATTCAAAAGGAGCGTCGGTCCAGTACCGTGAGTAAGCGGGTGAGTAGGCTAAGAGGGGAGCGGCACTCTTTCTATACCGTCGAGGCCCAAGGCATGTGCCTCGTGGTCGGAATGGTCAAAGATGAGGTCGAGCGACTCTGTGCCGGCCTCGGGGAGGCCCTTAAGACATGAGTAGTGATTTCTAGTCACCTAGTGTAAGACTGCGATTTATATTTTGGGTGGATGTCAATTTTGCAAAAGACACGTCCCCTCCGCGACTATGCGAGAAAGGCAGGGAAAAATGCAAGACTTTAGACCTCCAACAGGTTCCGTATGCAATCCCCAGATGTCTCCTACAAAGCCTTACGTGATCCTCTGCTATTCACCGAGGCAAGGAGTGCGCTGGCAAAGGTGAAACTTGCCAGATTGCAGCCTGCCTTTTCTCGCGAGCCTTCTCAGCGGGAAGCCCCAGCCATTGCTCGCGTTTCCTCACTTTGTAAATGTGTGCATGCACTCAGCACAGACTCGACTAAGACGTTGAGGTGGAACGTGGTGATGATGATGATGATGATGATGATTAATGTCTCAGGGTTGGCATTTAGGGCTAGCAAGGACTCTAGGGCATCAAGACACATGAACAGGGCATTCTGTGAGTCTTCAAGCGCAATAAAAAAGCAATCCTCAGTATTGCGCTCAAGACGGGGCTTAAAGCACATAGCCGCAGTGGTATTGTAGGCACTTCCGCCATGTTTCCATTTCCGGCAAGGTCTTTGGCACACGGCTTCCGCAGGTTTATGCGGGAGTAGTAGTGATGTTGGTGCTTTCCCCTCGCGGTCTCAGACGGCTGAGCAGGCGCAAGTTTGGCTAGTTTGAGTTAGGAAGCCTCTGCAATTCCATGCTAATATCATTGGCTACCAGCCCAAAACGCACACGGTCCCTTAGCCGAGGTTTCTGAAGTCTTGAATGCGAAATCGTCCGCAGGAGTGTGCGGAAATTCTGTTCTCCTGTACATGAAAGCCTGCAGGGTACTAGGCATAGAGCCCCAAAAGCGCAGAGCCCCAAAGTACACAACCCGAGGCCCCAGACCCTGAAACCCTTTACAGTCTGAGCCCCTCAACCCTAAGCCCTAAATGGTAGTTTCCATTTTCTTTTCCATTATCCCCATAATATAACCCAATAAAACCGAATAAAACCCAATAGGTAGTCGGGTTAAGTCGTCTCACCTCGTGTAAAGTCGTCTCGCGCGGGCGTGCACATGCGGATTCCGCGTACAAGCTCGTAAGAACATTTAGCTGGAAGTCATCTCACCTCGGCAAGCACATGGGGATCCCGAAGCAAAGCTTGGGAGCCAGCGGCGTGGC